CCTAATTATGTGCACTGAACTTTAGTACCAAACAATGTTAAAACTAAAAAAAGCTCTATTTCTCTGACTTGTAGCTGACAAACTAAAAACTCAGAAGTAATGGGAATGTACTTCGCTACTTTCAGGGGTTTCTAGTTAACACAATGCATTTAAATTACAAAGAACACGAGTGCGAACACGAGAACAAAGTGCGAGCTTTGACTCCAAGTCGCTCTCCTCTGCCTAACAGAAAAGCACCTTACTCACCAACTCTTTTTAGGACAGGAGCTAACTAGCTTTAAGGGGTTGTTTGATCCATGTATCCCCAGAACACTAGCTATGCCAATCGAAGATTTTTAAATACCATTTTCACTGATCATTTAAACTTAATTTGAATTCTGATAAAGCTCAATGGAAAGATACAAAAGGCCTTAAAAATTTAGCATAAAAGTAAGTAACTGGCGCATTAAATAACACTTATTTGGATTTTGCATACTTTTTGAGGTATCGGTTCTTACATAGTATTATCTTTCTTAAAATGCTGTGCTTTAAAATACGCTTTTCAAAATTTTATCGCGACACTTCTGGACGAGAACCAGGAATGTTTGCATTTGCAAATATGCTATAGAACACTGTTGCAGGGGCGTAGCTAGAGGGGGGCAAGGGGGGCATCTGTCTCCGGGCGCAGAATCCAAGGGGCGCCAAACTGATGTTACGACATTTTAGAATTAAATGTTTTCCATCCTTGGCAAGCAGTAGGGGGAGCGAAATCTTCAGTTGTCCCTGGGCGCTGAAAACCCTAGCTACGACTCTGCACTGTTGGTGAAAGGGGTTTCGAAACTCGTGGGTTTTCATTTGCCACATCATATGGATTCCTCTTTAAAATGCTATTCTTGAGACATTTCTAAATTGCTTTTCCTACTGCTTATTCAGGGTGTTTCGTAATTTATCAAAGTACGCTAATAGTACTAAATAATTTTATTTTGGAAAAAAATATTACACGTGCTTTTGTAATAGTTTTTGTATATTAATAGTTTCATAAATGACTTAATTTTGCTTAAATAAATAAATTATAAACATGCTAAAAAGCTGCTAAGCAGCACTTTTGCAGCATTAACTAAAGTGATTATAGTTTATTAAATAAATGAAACAAATCTAAAATGTCAGCAAATTCTCACTTAATATAGAAATGCGGCATAGTTTAACTTCAACATGCAGAATTATAAAATGCACACAGAGTTATCGTATATTTGCTAAATTTTCAACGCAGTTTTACTTTTAGCAGTTTTAGAATATTATATTGTAATATGTACGTAAGTCTCTGCTTCCCTTTCATAATTGTTTTGCAATAACAAATATATAATTCGTTATGTGCCTTGTCAATTTTATTCAATTAACATCCCCTCTCTGATTTTGATTCTTGGGGAATTAATATTATATTTTGTCAGCGTGGTTTGATACACATAAGCTAAATTAAACAGCGTTAAAATTTCGCATCAAGAAAGGTAAATTTTACATTCGAAAAGGTGAAATAAACAAATCATCTCTAGCTAAATTTAGCGGGACACTTAAAAAATTTTGATATTGGTTATGCAAAAGTTATCCATAAAGCTTCTCCAATTAACGAATTCAGATTTTCTTGAAGCTTTTTACATGTAACAAGTAGACAATTTGTCGTTCACATCTCTGAGACTTACTCAACTCAGCGAGCTATTTTAGCAGGCTTGCCACAAGGGACCCATGCTTTTTAACATTTACTTGGACCCATGCTTTTTAACATCTATGTGAACGACATTCTATGCACACCCAACACTACACAAGCAATGTACTCTGCTGACACAGCGATCCTTGTTCAAAATGCATTTCTCAGTCTAGTAATTCAAAACCTTCAAGACCGCATTCATGCATTAGAAACCTGGCTCAGAAAAAGTGAGATACAAGTTAACTTGGATAAAACCATTGCTGTTGTGTTCTGAAGAAAAAGAAAATTGGATAAAAAAACCCTGAAATTTTACAGAATCACTTTGCTCTTGTCTAAGCCAGTCACTTATCTTCAGGTGATCCTCACAAATAATCTTACATTGCCCCCGCACACATTCTATTTTTAGGAAGTTTCGGGTGTTTAAAGTTCAACTCTACCCCTTAATTGCCCGAAAACAGCCTTATATCTATAGATAACAAGTTACTCATTTATAAATACGTTTTGCTTCCCATGCTGTGTTATGCATGTAAAGTCTAGGCTTATTCATGCAAATAAAATAGGAAACAACTACAAACAGTACAAAACTGTGTTCTACAAGAAATTCCAAACTTGCCGTGGTATGTTAGAAATCACACAATTCATGAAGAATGCAAAATCTGTCAACTCAGAACTTTTTACTATCATATGGCAACAAGCTTTCATGTAAAAATGAGAGCCACTAACAAGCCAGAAATTCGAATTTACAACCATGATTATACTAATGATAGTTTTAATAAGAGGCCCATGGTCATATTGAATCCATCTGTAATCATGGAAAAATAGTGTACTGCTATGTACTCGCATATTGTTTTTTTGTTTTATTGTATCAGTTTTTCATATCTAATGCATTCTGTGTAAATGTTTTGTTATTACAAGCTACTGGTTCTTAGCAATTGCACTTGCTTTTATGTGTTTAGGCATCAGCTCAGCAGCCTTCTCCTTTCCTATCTCCATTTACACGTATGAGTTTAATTTAACAAAGACGCTTTTAAATTGATTATATTTTCAATAATTAAAAAAATATTCTGATCCTTCTTAAGTTATTTTTTGATAAGATTTCGGAAGTCTTATTCGACATGGTGTAGGACATGATACCCAAGTACCCAGCTGTTTAACACCGTTACATAAAAGGAGCTATATTTTCTTTCTTTCTCTCTCTTCCTTTTCCCCCTACTTCTGCTTTGCTTCTGAAGAATTTTATTTAAAACTTGTACTAACCTGAGGCCAATTTCTTGCCTAATTTCAAACTAGATATTAGCTATAGTTTACAAACACATTAGCTAGAATGCCTTCAAAAATGTTTTATAATTGTTCTGCATATTGTTAGCCAGCTTTTAGTATGTTGTTGTGACTTGGAGGATGATACTTTATTGCATGAACAGCAACAGATACACTAATATCTCTCGATTTTTGTTTTTTTTTTGCTATTGCTATTTAGTTATAATTGCGTAATAAGGCAAAGCACGAGGGGTTATTTGTTTCAGGAAGGAATACCTTCGCGGAAGGCCTTTCGAAGAAGTACTTTCACTATTTATGTTACTCATTAGAAACTCTCGAAAACGTTAATATTTCCCATTCCACTAGTGGTAAGTCCCAATTACGTCTTTAGTTATTGCTAATTTCTCAATGTCACAAATAGCAGTTTACGATTAGCATAATGACGTAACAGCTAAAACCTTTCTCTCACAGATGCCACAGTTATGTCTAATGCAACACTGAAGTAGATGATTTTCTTTCTCTAAAATGATCTCAACCGTTCTTTTCTAAGAAAAATAGCATTTCACAGTTGCACATATTACACCTCTGGCGTTTCTAAAGTTAATAACAACCATAAAAATTGAAATTTTGTTGAGTATATTAGCTAAATATTATGCACAGTTAGGAAATACTTGAATTAACAACTCCTTGAAAAAACATGACATATTTCGGAAATGTTTCAAATAAAAGTGGGAATGCAAAGAAAGTTTTAGTCCCTTTATGCCGCTTATCCATGCCTCTACACAATGAGACAAAACATAATATTTAAAATTGTGAGACGACTTGTCTTAACCATTTGCGCTGGAATGACGTGTTTTGTGTGTAGACATGCTTTTGTCTAAGAATAACTGAGAACGTGTTATATGTGTCACTAGACAAAAGTGCTCGTTTGCGTTAATTACAGAACACAGTAGACTGCCTAATTGGAAAATCTGGGAGTATTTTCACGTCTTAAAAATATGTATTAATAGATGAATTTCTAATGAAGAATAAAGGCCATACGTCATGATAGCAATTCAGTGGATCTAAAAGAGCAAGCTTCGATGTTGAGTTTTATAAACTAGACGAATCAAAATCAACATAATGTATCAAATTTTAACTATTCATATTAAAAACCTCAGAAGCTAATGCATTATAATATATTAATATATTGCCAGTAACTGGTTATCATTTATACATAACTGGTATTCTTCATCAACCTTGTATCAAAACTGAAGGTCTATAAAATATAATGCCGTAAGAACAGTTAGATCCAAATCAAAAAATATAACAGAAGAATTCGCAGCAACAAAATTTAAACGATTTGAAGCTTTACGGTTACGTACTAAAATTTTCGCTGTGTAAGCATTCGTGACGAAATCTAATATCGTTTTAGAATGTAATGCTGGCAGTAGTTTACTAGAATTACAGGATAATTACTTATTTACTTTTTTCAACTGGTGAGAAAATTTGCAAAATGTTTGAAAAGTATTTTCCATTTAATCTATGTAGCATTTTTTTAATTCCTGAATTTTATTTTTAAGTAAATATGACAAAGTTATTAAAGACTCGTTTTCGGAATCAAATGTAATAAAATAAATTTAAAAAATTGCTTTTAACATTTTCTCTGGAAGACTTCAACCACAAAGTCTAAAGAAAAATTTCAAAGAGGTAATTTTATTAAGCTGTTCAGAAGGTTAAAAAGTTGCTCTGAATTTTCATCTAAAATCAAATTATTTGAAACTAGTTTGCCACTAAAATTTTTCATGTGGTCTTGAAATTAAACACATTTTGAAATTGTATTAACTTTTTAATGAATCTTAAGTTAATATTTTCCCAAAACAGTAAATATGGTAGCGTTTCGATTGCTATCGAGGGATATAAAATCTGCTTCCGTAAGAAACTACTTAAGATGAATTAATATTTTTATTTAGAAACATGTCTGAATACTTCTTCTTTCCACTTGAATAATTCCCTTTGTTGTTTTATTTTTAGTGAATCAAAAGCGTTCTGTAATCGGTGTAAAAAAACACCAGACTTATAATTATGTGTAGAAGAATATAATTTATGTTTCATAAAGACATAATTTATGAAGTTTATAAAGACACAAAAAATTCGTAAATGATATGGAAGTTTAAAAATGAAGCATGGACATTTGCTAGTTGAACATTCTTCAACACACATTTTACAACAGATGGGCTTCAGTATATGATTAAGTGCTCGTCATTAATTTCATCTGTGCTGTTCATTCCAATTCGATTGACTTTCATCTTTTCCTCCTGTAACTCTGAAAAGAAAAATGGGAATCGAAGTTAAATGTCATGGATAAATCAGAGCAACCAGTCGTTATAAGGTGAATTACAGAGCAATGGCTTAAGAGTATCTGTTATAAAATTCTGCTTTAGAGTCAATAACTGTTTGTTAAACAGTTTATAGAGACATTATTTTATTATTTATTGACGCCGGAGACGTGAAACATGAGCAATGTCTCTACAGTGGCTCCCGAACTAAAAAAAAGGTGGTGGATGATGAGTCTTTACCACCAGGGTGTGGAAATCGGGTACCCTAATCCCATTCGGCCTTTAAAAGGGGAGTATATAAGGTATTTTCTCTCTCCTTTCTGTATGCCTTCATGGTGTAATGGTTAGCACACTCGGCGCATATTTCGAGAGGTCCAGGTTCGAGTCCCGGCGAGGGCACTGCACACTTTTCATGTTTCCTGCTTCAAAAGAAACTAATGTCTCTACAAGTTGAAAGACTGAAAAGTCTGAAGTTGCGTTCTAGTATCACAATTAATGAAATTTGTTTATCCTACTTTATTTGGTTTCAAAACTGAGCAAATCAGGTAATTTATTTTAACGTACGAGGTATTAAACCTCTTAAAGTTCACAATAAAATCATTTTAAGAGCTATAAACTCTTTACCCACTCTTCTTTCGGACTGAAAATATCAGAAGACTCCGACAGAGGTGTTAGTAATTATTTGGGAAGGAGGTTGAGAAATGATTCCGAGTGCTTAACTAAAGTCAACATAGCAACATCTTGCGCCTTAACAGTTACAAAAGTATTTTAATTTTTGAAATATTTTCGGGATTTTCGAAATACACTGTGAAAGTTTTGAATAGTCCAATGATTATAGCAAAATAATCACTAGATAGTATATTTTTTCTAGCATTTAGAATATTCTGATGTAAGAAGTTATTTGCTGGCATGCCCTTAAAATTTTAAAGACTTTTACTTGAACAACACGAAGAGATATAAACTAACTTGCGTGAAAGTTTAAGAGGGCATAACCCTTCTTATTATAAGTGTAATTTGCTTTCTTATTTGGCCTGGGGTGTGGAAGTCAAGGTTTCATGACAAAAGCGTATTATAATACGAGAAAGAAATCAGTAATTCTGGAAGTTATAAAGACAGTGTCCTCAGTAAGATACGGTATATGTTCTATCCTAGTTCTATTCTATCCACTCTATCCTAGTTCTGAAAATAATTCTTTTTAGAATCAAATCTTAACATCAACAGCTAAAATCATTCCTTGATAATGAGATATTAATTTGGAGATAGGTGCAGGTTATTAGGTTTGAACACTTGCTTTCAACCAAGAGTTGAGTAAACGGATGCGTGAGAAAAGAATTAAATTTGCTTCTGCAATTTCTTTTATTAATATAACACCTATATTTAAGTACATAATCTGGGGAGAGGAAGAGAAAAAACTTAAAAGTATATTCTTATAGTAAATTTGCTGAAAAAATTACCTGGAAAATTTTCTATTCGCAATATTTTTAATTTGTGCAGGTTACTATAAAAAGAATAGTGTAAATAGAAACTTATGTAAATTTGCTTCGAAAGGAACGACTAGAGTAGCATCGGAACAATACATACGGATACTGACCTTGGAGCTCACTCTCATCAAGGTAATTTCGAATAGCATTTTGTATGAAAGGTATGTCCATGAGTTCTTCAGGGTTCAGCTCTCCATTATTATCTTGATCATATTGTTGAACCATGTCCACGACAAATCGAAGTGTCCTAGCAATCCGTCTCTAGAAAAACAGTAAAAATATTAAATATAATAACGTAACAATTTAAATTTATTATTAATATCTTTGCATGCTTTTTCATCGATATATTTTAAAATGTGTTATAAAAAATTCTTTATTACTGTAAAATAAATTTACTTGGACTAAGCATTGCGCTATGAAAATTACTCAATTTTTCATGGTAATGATGCCATGGTTATCAGTTTAATTACATCATTATAAATTATATACTGCAGGTTTCTTACAAACAATACAGTTGAACAAAATACGTTATGAGAAAATTTATACTTATTTCGTAAATTTTCAAAAATTATAAAAGTAATTTTTGAAGTGAAAACTATTGAAATTATTAAAAACCACAATTTAAAGGATTTCTTTTAACAGCAGTAATTATGATGTATCAATGCACAAAATGATGCTCCTTTAGACTGAAATTTCTATTCGTGAATAAGACTAATTAAGCTATACATTTAAATTTTAAATTTATATCTTAAAAATGCTATTAAAATCGTGTTCAGGAAACAGTTTATTGTAAATATAAGCAATTTTGGAGTTTCCATAGCAAAGGCGTAATTAAGAACATATATGATAATTTAAAGTTATAGCATTTAAGAGAAAAAGAGCTATAGATATTTTTGCTTGCATTAGTAATTATTTCAAATGCTTAAGCATAGATTTAGGGATTTTCAAAGGACTAGCGAAGATTAACTTTAAGTGGGAGGTATGATGAAATCGAGAGCGCATTTTAATTCAGCTTTAGATTTAAAGTATAACACTGAAGTACAACCACAAATCATAAAAGATTTTGGCTGTACTTGTTAGTTATTTAGCATATTAAATATTATAAAAACACATACATAAAAAATTAAAACTCTTGGGCAAAAAGTTATGGATTTTCATCTTTTACCATGGTCTGCATAATTTACTTAAGTTTTCTCATCTACATTTTGTTCCAGCAAAGAATTTTTTTATTAAATTAAATTTGTTACGTCTCATTTAACAAACAGAAATAGCAACATGTTTTTATCTCTTGCATTTGAATAAATTCTATGCATTTTTACCTCCCAACAACCTATATACATAGGTAAGGGAGGTAATGTTTTCGGTCCAAAAACACGATAGTGAATTTTCAGTGAGTAAACATGAAGAGTCTTCAAAACACATTTTTACTACTTTTATGATAATGTTTGCCTGTATGTGGACTCTTATACCAACCTTTCAAAAAATACCATTCTCCATATTTAAGCTTTTTGCATTTAAGAGTTAATTAGATTTGAGGTAAAACTGGACAACCAGAAGAAGTACTGTACTTGAAGCTTGACGGTTCCGTTAAAGAGAAAAAAATCGCACGCGATATCTTTACCTTCTGCCACTCTATGAACGACATAGGTAAGGGAGATAATGTTTTCAGTCCAAAAATTTGATAATACATTTTCAGTAAATAAGCACGAATAAGAGTGCCCACAATACTTTTTAATTATTTTTACAACGATATCTGTCTGGCTGCCGAATTTGTATGTGTGTGGCAATACTTTTGTCCTCGATAACTCTAATATGAAACTTCAAAAGATTTCTATTTTCCTTATTGACGCTTTTTGCCCTTATGCAAAGAATGCATTAAATTTTGGGAAAATTTGGACAAACGGAAGTGGTACTTTACAGGAAGTAAAAACAATCTTTAATTTACGTAGCGTATTCGGAAACTAAGTACCGTTTCATTCTAGCGCCGTCGCAGCGCTGTGGTAGGCGTCCCGCGCATGCTCACTAGTCTTTCTTGTTCACTGACTTTCAATTGTCGCCATTTTGGTTGCTCTATGTTGTGTTTTCAGTTTGCTGTGCACATTCAAAATGTTTAAGACAATTAGTTCTCCCGCTGACTGTGAGATTCGTGCCGTGATTAAATTTTTGAACGCGAGGAATGTTAAACCGGCCGAAATTTATCGTCAAGTGACAGAAGTTTACGGTGAATACACGATAAGTGTTGGAATTGTGAGAAAGTGGGTAAGAATGTTTAATGCAGGTCGAACAAATGTCCACGCCGAGGCTCGGAGTGGTCGGCCTTCTGTTGTCACCGATGATTTGGTAAGGATAGTTGAGGAAGCAATTCATGAGAACAGACGCTTCACAATGACAACTCTTTCAGAGGCATTTCCACAAATTTCACATACTCTTTTGTTCGAAATTGTGTCTGACCGCTTGAATTATCGCAAATTGTGTTCCCGGTGGGTTCCAAAAATGCTCACTGATGTTCACAAAACAAAGCGACTTGGTAGTGCCCTGACATTTCTCACGCGGTACGGTGATGAGGGAGAAAACTTTTTAAACCAAATTGTGACAGGTGATGAAACTTGGGTGTGTCATTTCACACCAGAATCGAAACAACAATCGATTGAGTGGAGACACACTCATTCTCCGAAAAACAAAAGTTCCGAAAAACAAAGTGACAATGTCATCACAAAAATCATGTGCACTGTCTTCTGGGATAGGAGAGGCGTTTTGCTTATTAAATTTCTTCCCAGAGTGAAACCATTAATGCGGCACGATATTGTGAGACTTTAACAAAACTAAGGCGTGCCATTCAAAACAAACGAAGAGGAATGCTCAGTAAAGGAATTGTGTTGCTCCATGACAATGCTCGGCCCCATACTGCTGGTGTCACTCAATCGTTAATTCGACAGTTTCATTGGGAGCAGTTCGATCACCCGCCGTACAGCCCGGACTTTGCGCCGTCCGACTATCACTTGTTCCTGCACATGAAGCGCGAGCTTGGTGGCATGCGCTTTGGACCTGACGATGACACGAAAAATGCTGTGGAGTCGTGGTTATCGAAACTGGCGGGAAGTTTCTTTGACGATGGTATACAAAAACTGGTCACCCGCTATGACAAGTGTTTGATCATTGGCGGAAACTATGTTGAAAAATAGTTTAAGACATGTATTTTCATGTAAAAATAAAATTGGATTCGAAAAAATTGTTTTGCTATTTTTTTTTTTTTTTTTTTTCTTCAAAACGGTACTTAGTTTCCGAATACGCCTCGTATAACAGGAAGAGTAACTTTAATTGAAGCCCATAACAGTTTTAATAAAAAAACTATATTAAAATATTGTTAGAAAATTTAATTATTTTTATATAATGAAACTAGGAAACCTCAATCAATATGCGCTAAAAGGTACAAAATTGGCGAGATTGCACTAACTCGGAGCCTTAGCCATTTTTGATTTTAGCCATTTAAGCCACTGTAGCACCCGTTTTTTAGAAACACTCCTACAGCAAGAACACTGCCTAAAAGGTAAAACTGATATTACTTTTTAAGAGACTGAATTAGTTTATTTAAGTCTCTTGAATATTTTTTAATTATTAACTCATTTTAACTGTATCTGAAATTTTAAACCTATTTTAATTTTCTCAAGTTGAGTAATATTTCTTCTATGTTAATAAAGAAATCACAGTTATTATAACTTGTGATAACAGTTGTTATAACTGTGCTAAAGAATTACTTACTCAAATGACTTAGTAAAGTTTTAATGCACACGCATCATTAATTAGGAGACTGAACTTAGTTACAAAGTTTGAGAAATTTGCTTTTGAATATGCTCCCAAAAATTTGAAATTCTAAAAAGGAGCATATTGTAGGATTTTAGGAGCATTCCATATTAAAACTTTTCTCTTTGCTGAAGATAACTAATTACATAGTTTAAAAGTAATTGTAGTAAGTAATAATGTATGTTCTAAAAGAATCAGTTTAAAATAAAAAATTAACAGATGCAAATTACTGAGTTTGGAAATGGAACAACTTTTCATAAAAGAAAGTTTAAGTACCGTCGTATTTGAAGGAAAATCTGAAACGGGTTGTGATACTTGGTTACAAAAAATGACCGGAAAGCTAAAGCTTTAACTAGTCTAAGTATTTCAGATTCGCCGCCCAGACGGTATAGTGGTTAGGGGAACCTGTCTGCTCTGGTTCGAATCCCGAAGAAGGCGTTGAATGTAAAATTGTCTGTAACTTCATAGGAGGTAGAGGTGGCCGCCTATTAGGTGCTTCCACAATAAAATGGCCACCAACTCTGGCCTTATAGTGGCCAATTCCGTTATAGCCAAGTGCCCGCCATTGGAAAAAACAGTATTTCAAATTCCCAAATTATCCATGTTCTACAAGGTAAATCTATTAAAGAACTATAGCAAAAGTTAAAAAATCAGTTCATGACTTCATAAATTTAACTAACAAACTGTCTCTTCTTAGAAATTTATATTCTGTTTGATATAATGAAGATTGAAAATGCAGTTACACATTAAGGCAGTTTTAAATTTGGCTGAAGAGCTGCGTAGTATAGGTGAAGGAAGTAAAGAAAATTACTTGATAGCAATGTTACTATGTTCTTTGCCAGATTCTTATAACTCTTTAATAACCGCATTAGAAACGAAATCAGAAACTGAACTGTCGTTAGAACATATTAAATATAAATTAACAGACGAATATTGTAGACGTGTTAGAACTAAGCAAATTCAAACATTTGATTCAGTTGCTTTAAAAGGTAAAAGCGAAGATAAATCAAAGTATAATGTTAAGCGATGTCGTACATATTGTAACAGAAATAACCATGTAAAGAGTAACCGTTTTCTTTTAAAACGCAACAATAAGACTACCTCTCTAAAAGAGATGTAAATAAAAGTAAAATAAGAAATTTTTAACTTTTTCGTGATTTTAGAAGCGGATATCCGTGTATCTTTTCCGTAAGACAAGCACGATAGTATATCAATCGATACGCATTATAATGACTATTTCATTACAATAACCGGTACAAAAAGTCCCAACTGCGTATTAAAACAATTTTTGCTATCATGGCCACTTGTTATATTCGTGATTTTTCTGTCGAATTATAAAAATATATTTTTCTCCATTGCTAATTATCTGATCAGATCGTATAAGATTTTGATAGCATTAAAATTACATTTGGTATTAAGCAAAAAATTTAGGTAATTTTCTTAAAAATTAAGTATACTTA